ATAAATTTTACAGAAATATTATTGGCTGCTTTGTGAAAATCTTTTTTCGTGAAAACCGAAAGAAAAGAACAAAAAAAGTTAAACGATACTGCATCATCCTCGGTGGAATTAAAATCTATAGATAAAGGACAGGGCGAAAACATCTGGAGCACTCGGGAGTACGAAGTGTACCGCATCCGCTGTGTAATCTGATTATATAATAGGATACCTGAACGAAGATGCAAAATATGCAGTGTGGGGTTCTTAACGTGCGCATAGAATGAAGAAAAGCGAGCAATTTTGACAGTATACTGTCGGTTTTTAAGCAAATATCAAAGTTTAGAAATCTGTGATTAGGAAACCTGGTAAAAAAAAACAAACTGAATTATAAAATTTATGCATTCTCTACGGAAGCGGGAGAGAGAGTGTCCTAACAAAATTCCTGGATACATATATGTGTACGAATCTCCTATAAAAGGGAAACCTTCTTTTTTTATATTGCGTTCGGCTGCGATTTCAAAGTATAAACAGACGTATTTTTGGCATTTGATATTTACTTTGTACTTTAGCTGATATTTTGTAATAAGACAAGAGAGACATATGTGTACACAACATTAATGTAAGTTTACAAATTGTCGCGGGTGGTGTAACATCAGAGAGATAAAAAAGTGTACAGCTTGTGTTCGCCATCTGCATACACACAATGAGAACATGTAAATATTTTTGTAAGATAAATTTAAGTACACACACACACGCGCACACACACACACACACACACACATATATATATATACATACATATACATTAATCTCTCTCTATCCTTCGAATTTTCGTGAAATTCTATTGGAAATCCGAAGATCACAAGCTACGATTGCTTTGCAGCTAAATCCATATGTTTATTGTCCGTTGTACAATTCTCCGCTCTAGTTGTATTATATACATTTATATACATATATATATGTGTATGTATAAATATATATATATATATACATGTGTACACACACACACACACACACACACACACAATGTCCTAAATGTTTTGACACATCAC